GTATGCTATATCATGTCATGATTTTATATTCAAACGAATTCCAACTACATAAACTAATTTGGGAACTAATTTGCCATTCTTTTTCGTATAGATAATTATTTTCTCAACTGAGACGCAAATATATATATATATATATATATATATATATATATATATATATATATATATATATATATATATATATATATATATATATATATATATATATAGGATATAATCCAATTTGGTGTTTCCTACTTATGGCATTTTCCAAGTTTTAAAAATCGGTATAAAGCTGCATGCGCTTATCATAAATATAGGTATTCATTTGTTATAAGTTGAAAATATTAGGCCTACATCATTTTTTATAAAAAAATTATGTGCGTGTATAATTAATTATGTGTTTGTTCAAACATAAAATATTTTATTTATTTGTGTATATATAGTCTCTTCGTTTCGTCCATTCCACGTGTTGAAAAATCGAATCACATTCTACCCAATAATTTTTACTCTTTGAAAATGATGTGTTTTACTTGCTTTGGCTGCCGTCGTCAAAGTATTCCTTTAGGCTCTTTAGTTATACAATATTATATTTCACATTTGTTAGGCTTATTACTTTAATTGCATTTTATACACCATTTATTATTTCTTTGAATTTCTGCATTAAGCAATATAGCGCACGCGCTATTGCTATTCTTTTGTTGACCTTGCATTCTTACGAAGAAATGTCGTAAAGACACCTTGGCCCCGCTGGTTTCTTGATTTTGAAGACGCATTTGCATTCGGTTGATAACAGCACTGAGTACACAAACAGATACTATCGCCATGCTTTAATTGTAATCTGTTCTAAAACGCTGCCTTTTCAAACTGAGGCATTGCAATAGGATCTTAATTTTTGAGATGACAAAGTTAGGGATAAAAGCAACAAAAATAACGGGTGCATGCTATTTAATCAATATTTTTGTTAACGACTTTTCACCACTTTAAAATCGTCTAATATAGATTGTCATGAGACGTTGATGATGCCTCTTATAGATACCATATAATTATAGTTGGAATGGGGATGATCTGTTTGCATGATCCTCTAAATAGTGAAATAAAAAGCATCAATGCTGGTGTAAAAATCCATTATAGGCAGTTGATGTGTACAATGAGAATGTCATTTTCCAAGTCAAGTGCATGTCACTCGTGTGCGGAATGTGTTTTAAGTTTGCCCTCCAGGTTAATATGTCCTTGACTCCTTGAGTACGATGTTCTTGAAGTAATTCAATGAAGGCGCCGCGACGGCAGACATATTTGATACATTGGAACTGATCCCTGTAAATGAGTATACCGCATGACATAGCTAACATCCGTTTTCGGAGTTACTATTGTATTGTATTTAATTACAGTTTTATTTATTTATTAACTTTACAACCCTTTTGTACATGTACAAATAGAAATTCGTTTGGTTGTCAAATTAGATATTTGGCTGAAGGAGTGTGCATTTTTGTCTTTTTTCGCGATGCTTCACTGGATATTTGTCAGAACCCCATCCCTATATTGAGGAAAACTCGGAGGAAACTTGCAGTACAACGAATTTCGCGATAACTTTAGGTTAGAAATGAGGTGAATATAAGGCTGATTTTCCAGTATCGATTATCTGCAACATAATAGAACATTTTACTCGTCAGTTTGAAAGCTCCTGATCAATAATAAACCTCTTTTTCTTGCAAACAAACTATTGTAGTCTTGGCAATATGACGTCTATAGGCAATAATGGCAATAATAGTGCATGTAACTACGCTATAGATGCAATTCTATACCATTGTTATTACCATACACTCATACAGGTATAGAATTGCATTTATATACTGGCAAGGGCGACCCAACCACTTCCACTATTGATACAATAACACACTTGCAACAAGATTAAATTTGATGAAAGCATATTAACTTATATGTTGTTCTTTCCTTTATGTTTGTGTCTTCCGATTTTACTTTACCATCTGCCGGCAAATACATTAATAAATTAGATTAGTACGTTTGCTTATACGGGCTGTTTACTTAACGAATAGGCTGATAAAAATAATTTATTTACACTCCCAACCACTGAGAACTTTAATTACATCGCTTGATCTGCATGCCTTGCTGTGCATTTAATTTACACATGTTTTGCATTCAAATGCGATATTATTAAGTCCGTGCACTGGTTTGTCCACAATGTTTTGCGTGTGGTTTTCAAATATTGAGTTATTCGTTTATATTCGTTTGGAAAATCCATTTCTATACTTGCTACGATAAGAATCTTGGCTTTTCGTGATGAAAACAAATATGCTGTCAACACGCAGTGGTGGGCGTGTAATGAACAATCTTGTTGAATCAATGTGACCCGATTCACCCGAGTGTAATATTCATGTCTCGACAGTATTAGTATTATTACCAGTGCGGTAGTGTTATTACTATACCAGTGCGGAACATGCGCTAAGCGATTTACTTGAATTTATATTTGCACAAAAAATTTCGTCACACAAAACAATGAAACCGGTGTTAAAGCCTGGTTCTTATTAATCGGCGATGTTCTACGATCCATTGTCTGTGAGCAAGGAAGAAGAAAATTCACAAAAGATTGTATGCATCAATGACCACCGACAATGGGCATCGCCGATGTTTACGATAAATGAGAATCAGGCTTAAAGTGCCCGTAACTTGATTTCCAGCTTATTAAAAGTATTATGCTACCAGTGGAGAAGTTTCGCGGGAAAATGTTTACTTTTGGTTAAAAAACAAAAATTCTAGAGCCACTGGAAACTTGCTGATATTGCGATTTTACTTGGCACACGACCGTGGAAATATCTAATCGCCTGAAGCGTGGAACGAGCATTATTTGTGACATCACGCCAGTTATTTGTATGTAAATTTCAGGAAATATGCAACTTTAATTTCGCTGATGAAATTGCAGTCCGTTGATGTTTTAAAATAAGTCTAACGCCGGGTCATGACTTTGCCCACCAGAGGATTTGGTAAACATCAGTTTATTTAGTTATTTTCCCGTTGGGGGAAGCAGAATAATTTGCTGTGTTTGTCATAAAGCTGGTGTTGTTGTGATGTTGAACTTTATTTAGGCACGGAAGCCTGTGATCAGAAGATGCCATTCCCAGGTGCATGTTTAAATTATTTACAATAAAATGTATATAACAAATCGCTATTTACAATTAATTTTTGAAAACTTTTAGTGAGCTGGATTTCCATATTCCAATTGGTATTGAATTCCATACTCTAGGTTTTTCAAAAGAATGGTGTTTGGTTTAGGACTAACAAAATTGTCATGTCTTCGTGTATTATTATGTTAAATATGTGAGCTCCATTAAAGGTCCTCGAAAGATACGATGGGCCTAACCTGTGGAATATTTTATACATCAAGCAAGAGTTTTATCAGTTTCATTCACCTATAGGCGAAGGACGCCAAATCCAAGTGATAAATTTGGATAATTTCCCCGACGTCTGCTTTGCGCTGTCTCCTTGCATTCTATCTTCTAGCTTGCGATGATTATAGAAGCGGCCCCGGATGTTCAAATTTGTAGGTGTGTTGTTTCTATTTGGTCACCTAAAATTTGTTGACTGATTCAATGTAGACGATGAATAATAACATGATTGAAGATCAATTCTCGATATCATCAACATCAGCAAGATCAATTTTAGAGGGAATAGTCATAATCGAACCGAAGAAACATAAATTATTGATAGAGTTTTGCATTATGGATTTAGGTCTGCTTTTTCTATTGCGAATTCGTTTGTCTTACACATTGTTTTTAAAACATTGATCATTCTACCATATTGGTCGCGGGTGATAAGACATTCTCTAAGCTTTATTAAACGTGCATTACCGTGGGAAACTGACCCTAAGATTGTGATAATGCACACATTGGTTCGTTATCGCATATTCGTGTCAGTTTGTTTTCATTTTCTGTATTATCACACGAATCCTATATGCCTAAATTTCAGTCTTCCGTATTCATTTGGCAACACTACACTGTAAATTACAAGGAGTTGAACGAACTCCAAAAGTGTTATTTTATCACCAAAAACGGTGACAGAAAAACACTTTTGGAGTTGATTCAACTCAACTACGTTTGAGAGTCTCCGCACCACGAAATATTTGCGTTATGCGTAATAATGGTAAATTTACAATTTCAACTTTTAAAAGTCGGTTTTCACGTTGTTTGAATTGTCCAGAATCTTTCACGAGGGCAGACAGTAATCCAAAAATGGCAGATTTTGACCTTTGTGAGAAAGGCTAATTGATTCAAGCTTATTAATATTAACTATTGGAATATGGCCCCGAAATTGGCCTGTTGAATTGAATTGAAATGAATATATCTGGAACGCTACGTCGCTACCTTATGATAAACTGCCTTATCATTTTCTTGAAGCCAAATCTGGGTTAAATTACACGCGTGTTTACAGCATGATTGACTGATTGGGCGCTCTTCGCATGCGTGACCAGCGAACTTGACGGGGACGTGAAGACTGGGACTATAAGTTTAGCTTCAAATCTCCGTTTGGAGGTCTCCAGTTATATTCATTTTACTGGGTTTGCCTTATAAGAATTGCTTCTAAGTGGCCGAGCAAAGACCAAAATTTATTTGAAATCGCAACCGAAAACTGGTTATAGCTCACTGTTTTCAGTCAAAATATTTCAAGAACGAGATACGTCAAAGCTGTAAAATGTCTTAAATAACTATTTGTAAAGTTCTTTCACATAAGAAAAAATACATTTTTAGTGCCAATGGCAATGTCCTATAATATATATATCGCCGTGGTTATAGTCTATAGATATACTGATAACGTCATAACATAGTATAAAGAAAGGAAAATACCATCAGTGTTACGATTTATCATTCCATGTTCTGTATTTATTTTTCATAGAATGCTCTATATATATTTTCATAGAATAATCTACCACGCAGCCAGTTCTTGCGAATGGATATTGTACTCAAGTTGTGGTTTATTGCGTTGGCGTTCGTCCTTCAGACAAGTGAGTGTAATTCAACCTCGTAAGCCAGGCTCTCTACTTCCGCTTCCCTCCCAAACACGCTCGTGTTTGGGAGGGAAGTGGAAGTAGAGAGCCTGGCTTGCGAGGTTGAGTGTAATTATACTTCAGCTTTAGAGTAACAAAACTTGCGAAACCACTGTGGAGGAGCATGCGCAGGTGCAGAGACTAAGTGGATTTGGATTCAAAACGCGAGAGTGCGATCGTGACTCCAAACAGAGTGAGTAATGTGCACAGACTGAAAAGAGAGGAGCTGCGAGGTGAGAGAGCTTACTCCCCTCCCTCCCGCAATATTTCTCGTTGGGCAAATTATACTTACAAACCGTGCAGATTTGACTAAAAAACCAGGCAATTCTAATTAAAAATCGGGTAAATAATTAAAAGGAATGCGTCGCGTATGAACATACTGTAAAAATAAGATCAACTGCAGGATTAAAGTGTATAGATGAATGACAATGAATGTACGATTTTACGTGTGAGTTTATGCATCAAATTTCACACTTGTTCTAATGTTGTTTTATAGAGATATCCTACCAAGATTGTGGTGAAAGATTCATAAATGAGGATGATGTTTCAAGGTCAAGGAGAATTATTGGCGGCAATGAAGCTGCCATGAACTCGTGGCCGTGGCTGGTTAATTTTGTAAGCAACAAGAACAAGAGTTTCCAAGTGTGTTCTGGTAATCTGATAGATCCTCACTGGATATTAACTACAGCACATTGTTTTGTCTCGAGACACTTTCAATATGCTGCTGATGAATGGACGTATATTGCCGGCGACCATTACCTTCATAAAACCGACCCTTACGAACAGGTAATAATATATTTATATTAAACTCGTCTCTTTATTTTTATATGTAGAATTGAATTGACTGAATTGTACATATTCGTAGAATCTATTGTTTATGGCTTTTTAATTGCGTTGTCATAGCTTGTCGTATGGCTATATTGTTGTTGTTGTTGTTGTTTTTGTTGTTGCTGTTGTTGCTGTTGTTGTTGTTGTTGTTGTTGTTGTTGTTGTTGTTGTTGTTGTTGTTGCTGCTGCTGCTGTTGTTGTTGTTGTTGTTGTTGTTGTTGTTGTTGTTGTTGTTGTTGTTGTTGTTGCTGCTGCTGCTGTTGTTGTTGTTGTTGTTGTTGTTGTTGTTCCTCTTCTTCTTGTCGTCGTGGTTGTTGTTTCTATTGTTCTGTGAGAGCTGTTAGGATTTAATAGGTTTGATACTAAATACATGGTATTGTCAAGTTAGTAATTGTTAAAATATTTATCCGTCAAAAGGTGTTGTATCCAGAAGAACTCTACATCCATCCAAAGTTCACTTTTCTGACCGACTATTCTCCTGGAGACTATGACATGGCTCTAATTCGACTGAAAAAGCCTGTGAAAATCACTCCTCAAGTGCGAACGATATGCCTACCTAACGACACCGACGATGATATTATAAACAAAACTCATTTTGTTACTGGATGGGGAAATATTCACGACACACCAAAATATAGAAGATCCCATGTCTTGAAGGTTTGTAATCCGGAGTTTTAGTTAATAGATATATTATCATTCTGTGACTGGTTGTATGAAAGCTGGATAGCGTTATCCACCGGATAGTGATTTTTCAAGCTTTCTTAAATTAGGCGTTTCTAGTATAACCTAGATTAAACTTTCTCAGTCCTCAACTTACGAGTATCTTTTCCCATCTGAGCCACTCAGGTCATACTGCTTCTCTTGATGATTTTAAGATTTTATCTTCCAGTTCCTCTCCAGATGAACTTCTCGTCCGTGAAAGTCTTCTTATCTCAAAGCTCAAACCTACTTTGAATCAGCAAGGTAGCTCCATTCCTCTCTCACTCCCCTGACTTCTTTCCTTTAACTCCCATCCTCCGCATTCCTATTGCCTTGTAATTTGATATTGTAAATAATAATTTATTCATATTTGTAACTCATTGTCATACTATATTCATTTACTCTGAAGATGTCTTAAGTCAAAGACGAAACGTTAGTACTTCTCAAATAAATTTTATGTCTATATCCTTATCTATATGGCGCTTTTGCGTACGTAATGCTGGGCATTAATTTTTATATTGAGATTAAACTTTATTATATAAAAATTATGCTTCCTCTGAATTGTGGGTTTTATCGGTTGAAATAGTCACTATCCAGTTGATAGCGCTATCCAGCCTTCGTACAACCACCTCAGAACCTTTCCTTGTCTTGGCCATAGATATCTTATATACACTAATAAACGCTTAAAAACAACAATAACTTTCATCATTTGAATAGTCTAAAAACGTATTTGGAATAGGGTTAACTTAATGTATAAATTCCGTGTTTAAGAAATAGAAAACATACGAATCTTCTCATTTCATGGGAACGACCTGAGACTGCAATCACGGCTTCAATTTTTGAATTGCAGAATAATTAGATGCACTATCTAGTGTATATAACATATCTATGGTCTTGGCCCATTTTATCTATAACCTAGATTAAACTTTATTATATAAAAATTATTCTTCCTTTGATTTGTGGGTTTAAACGGTTGAAATAGTCACTATCCAGTTGATAACGCTATCCGGCCTTCGTACAACCACCCCAGAACCTTCCCTTGTCTTGGTCCATTTTATCTTACTTTACGTTATTGCACCTTACTTTATCTCAAAATACCTTGCCTTTAGCGCAGCCTGCTTTGCTTTGTTTTGTCGTGCTGTGCTTTACCTAACAACCTTGACTTTACCGGCTTATCTTAATTCGATCGCTTTACCTTACCTTACCTTACCTTACCTTACCTTACCTTACCTTACCTTACCTTACCTTACCTTACCTTACCTTACCCTACCCTACCATATATACCTTACCTCACACCCTATTATATATACCTTACCTCGACTTATTTTACTTTACCTTACGTTACCTTACCTTGCTATATCCTATTTTACCTCAGCGTTTACCTCCATCTTACCTTCACTCAGCTTGCTTTATTGTCCTCACTTTGCTTTGTGACATCCACCTTTTCCCTTACTTCTAGGAACTACGCATGAGCATTATTCCAAAAAAGACTTGCAATAATAGTTATGGTGGAAATATCACACAACGACAACTATGTGCTGGTCACTCAAGTGGGGAACAAGATGCTTGTTTTGGGGACAGTGGGGGACCATTGCAATACATGAATAAGTTTGGAAAATGGGTCCTTAGCGGTACTGTGAGTTGGGGAAGAGGTTGCGCTCGGAAGAATTTTTATGGAGTCTACACAGACGTCAAAGCACTGTTGCAGTATATTAACAAAATTTTGAAAGGTATGGCGTAGTTGCTTGAACGAATTGATAGTTTAAAACGTTTGAAGAAGACATAGTTCGTCAAGTTCGTCTTTCTACACACATTCGATCGAATTTCGTTATTCAATATGAAGAGGCTGAGAATAAACGAAATGTATTTAGAAAGACAAACTAGACGAACTAGGTTTTCTTTAAACGTTTTGAAACGTTTTTTTCTTTTGACGTTTTTTTTCTGTTGTTTCGACGTTCTTTTCGTTGGAAGGATTTGTTATTTTAGTTTCATACCATGTGCTCCCGGATCACGAGACACGACTAAAAATAAAACTTTTGGAGAGGTTACGGGAACTCTTAAGTCGGATACTGGAATACCAAATGGCTTTCCGTGGATGATAGGGTCATCCATTCATGTGCGATATTGCGAGACTTTTACGCTTTCCGAAAGTCGATCAACATCCCAAATGCATGCATGATGCTATCCTGCACGGAAAACCATTTGGTAATTGTTTTATAAAATATCTAAAGTGAAACAACGGTTAACATTATTAAAGTTATTGATGAAATGTGCAATCCTCACAACAATCGTGAACTATGCTGTTTAAAATATTTTCATTGTCCAACATTTTAAAAAGCCCGCGCGAAGGCATTTAAGTTTTCTGTGCCTGATTATCTGATCCAAAATCCCTGGGAACGAGTTGGCACCGGCATTGAGTAGCAAAATTGCGTGTTTCACTGTAGTTATCATATAATAAGAATGAAAGCATTGCTTCTCGTACAATTTTGGTAAGATAAACACCCATGCTAATCAACCATTACCTGTTCGTAGAGATACAGGATAACCAATTTTACCCCTTATAGTACCTTATCTGTAATTTTGTTTCCAGGCGGTAAGACATGTGGTGTTCGTAATAAAAATGCATCACGATCAAAACGAATTGTCGGTGGAACAGAAGCATCAATTAATGCCTGGCCTTGGACCATCAATATGATTGAAAAGGAAACACAAAAGCAAGGATGTGGTGGTAGCATTATTGCTTCGAACTGGATCCTAACTGCCGCACATTGCTTTCTGGGGGAAGGACGAGAATCTTACGTGGACCAGTATGAATATCATGTTGGAGATCATGTATTAGGAGAGGTGGATAAAGGACAACAGCAGGTTGTTCCTGAATATAATTATGTTCACCCAGATTACATCCCACCGACATTGACGCATCCTGGAAATTTTGATGTTTGTTTGATAAAGCTGAAATATTCGCTTGAGTGGAATGATGTCGTAACTCCGGTTTGTGATTATTTTTGTTCTACTAGATTTTAATATTACATTTTGCGGATATAACTGATGACCAGACAGACCAGTTATTCCACTAGTCACAAAAAGTAATATTGTGTTATCAGTAGTTAACCCCCTTCCGCCCATCCACAAGACAAAGGATCCCGTTATTGACGAACCAATGGGCAAAAGATGCTTCCATTAAATATTATTATTAATTAATCATTTTACCTTCTGAAGAGGAGGTGCATTTATTTTCAGAGGAGGTGCAAAAATCTTAAGGGAAGTAAAAAAGCGTCTTCATTAATATATCTTACTCTAGAGCGGGCAAGAAAATGAACCTGGGCGACATAATTTCGTATATAAATTTCACTTTCTAACAGGATACTAAAATGTAAACAAATCATACACGTGCGAATGGCCTCTTGAAACTATTCCACACTAGAAAATGTAACATCAGGACCGACTGGTAACGTTATTCCGCGTTGTAAAATAGTTGCACAACTGGTAGCGTTACTCTATATGACGTAAATGGCGCCATCCAATTGTGATATCAATCGCAGAATCAC